TATATATTGAATAAATTCTCATAATAAAGCATCTCTTCTGAGACCTCGTCTTGTCGTTTAATATGCTTAAGAAGAGGGCGTGTCACATTGATCACCGTTTAACATGTGTGGGTCAAATAATTACTAGTGTTGTATTGGCATACCCTAGAGTGCGAAATGAATTATTTCCAATCGGATTCGATCTTCCAATAAAAGCCTCAATGGGCCAGTTGGTTAAGGCGTCTGCATGGACAGCAGAAGGATGCGGGTTCAAACCTTGGCTGGGGGATATTTTTCTTTTGCACTCATTATTATTGTTATTATTAACACCATTGTAATCAATGAGGATGATTTTTATATTCTTCATGTCTGTCATCAACACAATAATACCGGTAGCTCTGCCTTCATTTATAGGAGTAGTGACTACTGATATTGGAGTCGTTAGTGAAATGAATGAAAGACCAACAAAGAATGTTTTCGAGACAGATGACCATATGATTCCAGGCAAGTTTGATTTATAGCAGCCTTATCATAACTAAATATTTTTAAAATAGATTACAAAAGTCTTCTTTAAAAGACAATCATAACAATAACCCATCACAACAATTGTTATTATTCTCATCTTAATTACCTCAATTTCCATCACCATCAATCGTCATCTCAGAACAATAATTTAATTATAACGAGCCAAATTTAAATAAAGTATAAATTAATGTCTGTAATTCGTATTCCTTGGTAATCATAATCATTATGCCGATCTTTGTCTTCGTCATTATCATCTTCGCTATCATCATATTATCACCACCACTATACCCACCATCATGACTAGATCAGAATCACAATCATCACAACAACAATCATGAAGCTCCTCTTCTTTTTCCTCGTCCCCATCATTCTATAATCAATCATAAAAAAATTCATTATCATTTTAGGTATTCGTTGGACTACAAGTATCATTTTTTTGATAGTATTTACTGTCGCTGGCGTGAGCACGTTTGTGATTGGCTGTTTGTGTGTTTTACATGGCTTACTAATACAGCCCAAGGAAAGACTTAAAGTCTTGCCAGAAGAAGCTGTAAGAAGAGATATGAAAGAAAAGAATTAACGCAACGGCAGAGGTGATGATGCAAGTTACGCCTAGACACAATTCACAAAGAAATTAGAGGACTTACCCTATGTAATATGAATGAATATCTTCAACCTATGAATTCTAACGTTACCACCAGTCCAGTACCGGTAAATGCAAACATATAGCAACCAAAAAAGGCTTATCGTTACTCACTCTACCCAAAGACAATTCCTGCATGGAAGCAGTTTGACCGGGCTAGAACTGCTCCAAATATTACCAATTTTAAAGATATATTGAACACCATCGATATTTAATGTAATCAAAGCACATTTCGCTATCAATTAATAATTTTACACGCGACCCTGACCAACGTACGCGATAACCAGTATAACAGATACAGATACAAATACGAACTGCGTAATGACATTTATTTTAAGTTTAAACTTATTGTAAATATGCAAGTAAAATACATTGAGTGAAATTGTTTGGCATGAGATGATCAAGAAAGATTTATGGCCCTTCCATTGGGCAGCTGAAGTACAGTAAGCTAACTAAACCACCAAAATAATGCTGAGGCGCGCGGATGCAGTGGGGGCGGGGAGGGTGCAGACGGTGTGATCGCACCAACCTAAATTGTATTAAGAAATTGTATGTAATTGTTGATAATATGAATTACCGGTAAGATTTGGTATGAGAGTGCAATTTCCCGGCACCTAGCGGTTCCTTTTTTTTCTCAAGATTTTGCAACCTCAGCCCCAACCATTGTTGGGGCTGAGGTGGTGACTCTCACGCACTACCTACCGCCAACTCCTGCATACGCCCCAGAATAATGTACCCAAGATGCAACGAGATCAAATTAAAAATAAAATCGATATAAAATGCGGTGAAGCGCAATGCACAATGCCACGAAAGGTTGTAATTTCGGCGTTTCTTTAAGTCCTCCCTTCTGTCCTAGGTAAAATCAATCGTTGGTTTGTCCCACCTACATGAATACAGTAATATAGACGACTCTACTTCAAACTCGTTGGACTCTTTTAGTATGTTCCTAAACGTTACAAGAACAATCTAAGTAGGGTAAAATAATATTAAATGAAGATATCAATATATTCTCCGCCGGATAGAATACATTTTTAATGAGTCTAACACTGTTTAGTTATATAGGTTTGGCTAAGGGCTGTGGGAGCGTCGAATAAAATTGTCTCACCTACATGAATACGGTAATATAGACGACGCTACACTGCAAGAACACTAAGTAGGGTAAAATAATATTAAATGAAGATATCAATATATCCATAATGAACCAATACTGATAGATCTCGTACTTTGTTCGGTTCTATTTAGTATAATACCAAGTTAATAAAAGTTTTATTTGTATTATTCCTATCGTTATTATAAGAAAAATGTAAACATAATATTCTTGTAGCGCATTATAAATATAATTTTATAAGTATAATTTTGTTTTTATTGTTAAAAAAAGAAAATGAAATAGAATAGCACTTGAAACTTGAAACTTGTTATTCTTATTATAGCACTACGGCACTATTATCATTATTATTATTGTTTATGATCAGAATATTAATACTGCCTTCTGGCTGTAAGTGGCAGAATGACGTCTTCCTAAGCGGCAATACAAAAGCCCGTTACCAGACAACGTCTTTTATAAAGTATTTCAATCACCCATTTTACAAGCATTTAGATTATCAAAAAACAGAGACTACTTTACATGCTTTTCACAACCAAACCCATCCTTTATAATTGACGATTAATCTGATGTTTGTACTACAATCCACAATCGTAAAATTTTAAACTGAAAATATTGCGATAATGATATATTAAAGGAGATACGTGCGGTGAGCTAGCACAGACGTTCCGTTGATCGCATCACAGGCAGTTTACTTGGAATTGTAACATTGCCTAAAGGTAAATTAGCAGACTTTTAGATACGTTTTGCCGATTACGCTAAATTCTGCATTTGAGGAACATATTGTAAGTAAAATTTTACCGCTGTTATTAATTTAAGCATTAAGTTACCTTATTTTTTCCAACACTAACAAAAACTAGCATCATTATTTCTACATTTCATCTTTTTCCTTTTTTTTTTCCGTATTAATAATTATATTCAATTTCATCTTTTTGTTCTTTCTCTTCTTCGTTTCTTCTTCTTCTTCTTCTTCTTCCTCTGCTTCTTCTTTTTTAGTTGTTGTTCTTGTTTTTATTTCTTATTCTGCTAGATAATTCTTTTCAATGTGATTACGTTATCTGTCTTTTCATCTGTCTTTTCATCTTTGGATTTTCTTCTTAGTGCATAGCCAAAATACATAGTTTTCTTGTTTTGATTGCTTGTTTTTATAGCCAATGAATACCAAAAAACATAAACAAACTAACAATATTTGTGTAAAGAGGGGAAAATACTGAAGTAGGCCTGTCGTGTATTGCTTTTCTGATGATTATCTAAATGCCTCCTATATTTTTCGCTTAGATATGTTTCACGTATTCAAATATCATGCTGTTGCTGAGGATCTCCGTCTTGGTCGTTCTTTGTTTGAGTTACACCACCATCGATGCAAACGGTAGGACCTTTTTTAGAACTAACACGTTTACATTAGGCCTAAATAAATCGAATATAATATAACAATATCAGTATTTAGTAGAATATGTGCTTGCACTGGTAATTACTTATGAAAACCGAATTGTGGGCAATTTTATCGGGGACAAATGGGACGAACATTTCTTTTGATACAATTAATATATTATGCCTATCAATACATTTATAAAATATAATTAAACCAAATTTACGAAAAAGCTGTTAAAAAGTCCTTAAAATTTGGCCTTAAAATCATAATTGTAATAAAATCCAGGC